GCCGCTCACAGTTCGGCACTTTGGTGCTGCTGACTACTACAAGGGCGTTGTCTTCCACCAGTTCCGGAGCTTTGCTTGACTGGAAAATTGGACGATCGGCAAGAGTGTGCAGATCGACGCTCGCAGCCGAGGCATCCGCCGCTGACGAAGGATGCGACAGAGGAAGTTTCATCAACATGCACATCTGCGAGATCCTCTACGACATCCCAGCTCACCGAGTTGGACCTCGTCTTCTACACTTGCACGCCACCGACGCCAAATCGCTCTACGACAGTGCGATTCAGGACAACCCGAACTTGACCGACAAGCGGTCACTTGTGAACGTGCGGGCAATTCAGGAAGTCATTCCTGCAGAGAACCTCCACTGGGTGCCCACAGATCTGCAACACGCAGACGGTTTGACAAAGGTAAGTACAGACCTTAGGCAAACGTTCGGGCAGTGGCTTCAGTTTCCTTCAGTGACACTACGAGAGCAGGTGTTGCCCAAAGAAAGTAATACCAGTGAGAATTCTGTGTAACCTTCTTGTCGCTTCTTTTGTGCTTGTGCAACACCAGCTTCTTGGACTGCAGCTCCGCCGCAGACGGGGCCCTTCTTGAGCTTTCAGCTTAGCGCGCAGAAAAGAGCTTTCTTGCGCTTCTCGTTGCCTTTAGCCGGTGACTTGTCAGAGAAGCAGTTAGCTAAGCAGCATCCGAACCCAACCCTTAAAACCAGAGGACAAACGACCAAGACACCAAGTAAACCAGCACAGAACTCCTTCTTTTGTAACCTGCAGTTGCAGGAAGATGCCGAGTCTCAAACCATCCAGACAAAGTGACTGCACAGCGCAAACCTCTGTTACTCAACCCGTCGAGCATTCCAGGAAGACGTTCTTTATGCTGCGGTCCGTGCTTGCTCCCAGCCAGAACATTCTCAGGGATCCAAGCATGTGCGGCCCTGCGGGCCTTGAGCGCCGGCGTAAAACGCTGTGGAGCCCCGACAATCGGCAAAGACGTCAGTGTAACTTAAGACTCCCCTGAAACTTCAATTGGAGCCCCGATGTCCGCGCTCGAAACAAAGTGCATGCAGTTGGCACCGAAGAAACACCTAGCCTCTGACTGTAATCCTTCAAGATCTGAGGTCCCGGCCCTGTTAAACACCTGAAAAACCCGCAACCGTCAGGCCATAGCCTATCTACCCGTACAACATTCAGGGCGGAGGGCCAAAACATGAGAAACAGCGAGGACTCTATGGGAAGGGGTTGTAGAGAAGTAAGCGGGAAATATAGATGAACAACCCAACCAAACAGACTAACGGGAGTCGTTTCTGGCTGTGAGAGGTCTGCCGCAGACTGCGAGAGGCCTAGATTAAAAAAACGGGATGAGAACGACAAAGCCATAAAGCCCAGGATGAGACGGCAATGCATTGAACATACCTTGCTTGAGCACTAAGGTCGGAGGGTTGCGCGCCCGCAGCGCTTCGAGCAGCACAACAACTGCTGCACTGCACCAAGGGTGCTAAAACTAAGAACCGGAAGGCAACAAAGCTCCAAAAACACAAAACCCGATGATACGAGACCCTAGTATTGTCGGTGCTTTGGGGAGGTCCTGCAGCACTCGAAAATCCCATGCGATTGGTTTCACGCCCGCAGAGACTTCAACGGGGCGAGCAAGCTACTACAGTGTTGGCCTGCAATGGCAACAACATACCTGACGCAGGCTCCTAAAAGAAAAGCAACCGCTTCGAGGCCAGAGGGCCGCCGAGTACTTTCAAGAGCATGGAAAGAGTCCATGCATTTTCCAAATCATCCGTGATATGTGTCGGACTCCAAGAGGAAGCCGTTGAAACCAAAATTTGCGAGAAGGAGACTGTACGCAGACTTTCGCGTCACCCAGGCAAACTTCTTACCTTTAAATCATCTTCCATGCCCGTTGAAGGGTCGGGTGTAGTTGTCGTACTGGGATTGAGTGTCCCGCCTGGATTGCTGACGCTGCCGTAGACCGGGTGAAGAAGACACATCAGGAGCGGAACGAGGGCCTTGCTTGCTGTTTGGCAGAACTGCATCAACTTGTTGCAAGCACAGCTCTAACTCTTGGTCAGAGGCCAAACACTCTTCTGCACGCCTGTTGCGCACTGCACACATCATGCTCGAGGAAACCAACTGAGCAAGATTCCACGTGTCGCTAATCCAGGGTCCGCGTCCGAGGACTAGCTGGAAACGGGGTCTGATCCACGCAGCATGCAGACGTTCCCGTTGGAGTGGTGAGCTGCATCACTGGGTCTGTATCTTCGCATCATCGGCATAAAACTTCGAAGTGGCACGTGGACATACGCGGAAGCAGTTGTCCACCAACCTTGGGTCTGCAACCAAACGGCCAGGACATGTCGAGCCGCTCGGCGTTGATGTCGAAAGCCTCTGCATCCTTCCACTTGAAATTCGGTTTGGGGGTAGCTAAAAACAACAAGAAAGGTGCACGCATGTCAGCAACATAGATGCTGAAAGGACCGAATTGCCCAGATACAGCCCACATTTTTTGTTGGAACAACCTCTATGACTCTATGCATCCTTGAGAGAATAATAGTTTCAAGGGACAATTCAGGCATTTCTTGGCAATCGTGTAATATGCCAGTCTATTGAATCCGGAAGCAGATGCGGTCATGTATCGATGAACCTGGTAACGTCAGGCCGAGTACTGGAATCTCGCAGCATTCGTGGCGGCCGAGATCTTTTTAACATGGCAGCAGACAGGCCGTAGAAGGACTTGGGCGCACGGTTGCTGGAAGGTGCCCGATGTCAAAAGCTTCTATGGCCCCGGATCTGTAGTTCAGGACCTGTGGCAATCGCCAAGAACAATGATGACAGAGATGTGCGTCTTGCAAAACGGTACAGTTTTTTTCACCTTTTGACGAAGACGGCCGCAGGGAGGCAAAACGATGCTGCAGAAAAGCACTTGGAAAGTCCTCCTTGAAGGCAATTAGGAGGCCACCCAATGCCGGTATACTTGCAATCTGTAACCATCGGACCACCATTGGTACAAACGAAACATCTCCGGACAACGACGGGCCGAAGCATTTTGCAACCCAACGTCACAACGAAGTGCCTCAACCCGGTCCGGTGCCAAAGTAAACCGTCAAATTCAAATGTTGCACGAATGACAGCAGGAGACACATAAAATCCTGGGAATTTGTGCTGTCCAGTGTCTCGTTCGCAACCAAATCAAAGCACGTGCAGCAAAAAAACAAGCTTGAACCGCCTCCAAAGTCCAAAGGTCCGCATGCTATGCGAGTCTTGCCGCTCTTCGGAAACAACCATGTCAGCACGGACCTAATCGGAGTAGACAGCTATTGTCTCCGAGATCAGGGGAGACTAGGCTGCTAAATAACTTACTCTTGTCCCGGTCGCTGGTCTGAATCGCCACGCTAGGTTGGACAGGATAGTGCAGAGGCTCCTGACTGCAGACAAACTTCGACCACCTCGCTGCACGTCAGAAGATTCTTGTTGCAGCTCATCAGGATTGGGAAATGACGTGCCAGCAGCTGCCGCTTGAACTTGCTGGTGCACAGCCGTGGCCTTTGCTAGACTCCCTGTCCTGTAGCCACTTCAAGCAAGCTCGCTGCTGCCAGCCTCCGGGTTGCCTCTCGCTCTTGTTGTCATCATGGTTGCCTTCTCCGCGCCGTCAGCACGCCCAGCCGCCTCCAGCAGCTACCAGAACAGGAGCGGCTTCAAGGGCTCGGGAAAGAACAAGCCCTCTCGCTCCTGGGAAGCGGGGAAGAAGCTCTGGGCGAATGTCTCCTGCGTAACGAGACATCAAACCCCACATGGAACAAACACTACGGGAAGGGATGGGCTGTGTCACTGGGATCGCTCCGCAGACAAAGTGAGAAGTAAGGCAGGAAAAGCCCAAGTACCACGGGGAGCGATCGGTTGTGTATCTGGAAGTGCCTTTCGCATGCAGCGTGGGCAAAAAGGCAAGATTGAAATGGCTAGTAAGAGCGAGATAGCTGAAGCAACTTTTGGAACAAGGTACAAGCTACACTGTTGAAATAGGTTTGAACCCATCCTCAGTGTGATGAACAATCTGGGAACATTGGGCATCAACTGTCTTAACTTGTCTGAATGCTGGCAGTCTGGCAGATTCATAAAGCGAATCATCTTCGGAGCAGATCGCTCCGGCAGAGGATGTTGGAATTTGTAGAAGTGAAGTCGGAAGTATGCCAGCACACATTCCACACATTACGACAGATCAAGGAAATTTCTTGTCTTAAAACACTGCGTCAAGCCACCAGTACCCAGTGTAACGCCGACACAAACAAAGCAGCAACAGCCGTCAGTTATAACAGTTTTGCATGCGGGGCTGATTGTTTCGTCAACCGTAGCCTCGTGAAGATGAACGAGCCAGTTAAGAATGGTGGCACCAGTGCCGAGCTCCTTCGATTGGAATTACGCCGAGCGAGTGAGCGAGGGAGCGATCAAGCATTGAAGGCCGCATATGTGCCAGGCGAGAGCGAAAGCCTTCCTGATGTGACCTTCACCAGCGATTTTGCCACGTCGCTGGATGGCAGCGCGCCCGACATACTGGCCTGCACAGGCAGTTAAGCGGCTTGTCACATCAGGCAGCCAAGGAGCCATCATTCTATTGAGCAGCGGGGCTCTCAGTGGTGTTTGTGAATGGGCATTTTTGGCGCAGCAGACAGCAGGTGCCGGCAGCTTTGGAGCTGTCGCAGACGTGAAGACGCCTCCCGAGGAGGCCCGGTGAAGCCGCAAGGGCCAAGGACCTGTCACGTCAGATGCGCAAAGCCTTTTTGGTCAACTTGTGCAGCTTGTGCTCAGGTGCCTCTGTGGGAGATGCCGGAGTTGCTGTGTTCCAAGTTGGTTCTTGGAAGCTTGCCGCTCGCTGACGGCGAGGCGGAGAGCAAACATCGAGGTTTGGGTTGCTGTTCCAAACAACTACTTGAGGTGGTGGTGGTCCGGAGTGTCCGGCGCTGGAACTCTTGCATGACGGAGGGGCCACTTCTGCATCTAGCAGAGGACCGTCGTGAGCCAAGTGCCAATGCTTTGAGACCAGCCGTACTTCGCCAGGACCGGCCTCCGGGGACCCTGCTGGACATTGCAGTTATGGACATCCAACGCCACATCGACGACAGGCCGGTGACCTTCAGACCATTCACGCATGAAGTGCTGCATCCGGGGTCAAGGCCTTTCTTTTCCTTGCGGAGGGGGTGGTATTCGTCTTCCTTAGAGCCGCCGTGCAAGCATGATTCTTGTCCCCGGCATTTCTCAACCCTGAGATATCCTTCGGGAGAACACAACCCGGCCCTAAACACTGCATTTCAGCATTCCGCCCCAATGCGGCACAAGCCCTGAACCTTGACTCAGGGGATGCAGAATCCCAAGCCTCAATGGCCCTCCACCGTCCCTGGGCCAACTCCCGCTGCCTTGATACCCCTCCTCACGTGGGGTTTAGAAATTTAGACTCTTTTTCTGTGGAGCTCATTCATAAGGTGTTGGACGGAAATGTTCTGACTTCGTACTTTGCAGGCATGTTTGCATGAGCAGGGATCTCTGCGGGTCAAAGTTCGCGTCGCAAAAGGAGCCGCAAGCCACGGCCTCTGCCAAATCCGGTTTGCCTGAACAGGCTTTAGGTCCCTGAACCCATTAATCCTGCATCCTAAACCCCTAAAACCTTAACCAAAAAACAATCCACATAGTATGAATAAAATACCCCGAAAATTCGGAACGTCTTTCACATATAGGCAAATCCCATACAAAATCAAGCAAAAATCGCGAATTCTAATTACTGTATACCCAACAACATAAAATCTAGAATGCCCGGCTAACTGTATGGACTTCTAAAGCCTTTACACTACTAAGGCTTGGAAATATGGGTAACTCTCATACGTGCAGTGATTAATATCCAACAGCAGATTTGTTCGGACCACTGGGTCAGAGGTCTTAAGTCATTCAAGCAGTCAGCGAGCGCAGGCGCTTTGCCATTGAGTCGTTGCGGCACGACTCGGCCAAGTGGTCCAGCTGCTTCAGGCCCAGTGCTGAAACCGGCTGTGCGGTGCAAGTCGGGGACGGAGTGACATTCGCGGTTGAGAATAAGTTCCGAAGCATCGTCAAGGGCATCAGGCAACTGGGTGGGCGGGCACACGTGGATTGGTTACATAAGATACTGATAAATTCCGGCTCCAGTGGCGAAGGCACTTGGCAAAGGACATCGTTGCGGTCAGCCACCCCCCGCTCATCGGCATGGGGCCTACAGTCACCGTTGTTCTTCGCGGCAGCAACATGAGCAGATACAGCAATTGCACACCATGTTGACTAACGTTACTCGCGCCAACCGTCTTTGCTGCAAGTTTTCGCTTCGACCAACTTAACTTATGGTGGTCGTGCTGCTACTGCCTCTAAAGCTATCTCCAGAGGCTTTGAAGCTGTGAGCCAAACTCGTCTGAATCAGAAAATTGGTCCAAAGAATCGTCCATGCAATCGCTGAGAAACTCGCGACTCGCAACGCATTGGCATGCTGTAGCTGTGGACAGGACCAATTCATGTGTCTCGGTCGGAATCTGCGCACTGCAGGTGTGGACAGGCATTGGTCTTACGCCATGCAGTTGCTGGCTGCAGGACCCAACGTCTCCGAAAATAGGAACCGCATGTAAAGTTAACAGAAAGAAGGCCTCAAGACTTTCGATTCGGTCACTTGTCCCTTCGTCTCACGTCGAGCTTCTATGTACAGGACATTGCCAAGTCAGCGGCGGTGTCACCAAGCCGAAGCTGCGTGCTGCGCTTGGTTGTGCTGAAGCAGGTGTCGAACAGATTCACACGGTCACACGGCTTTAAAGCTAAGCGGCTTGCCAAGCCACACAAGACTTTAAAAGACACCTGACCAAAGGCTACGCACTCAGCACGGAGGGCTATGCGACTGCGGCTGCTTCCACAGAACTGTCTCCCGCACAGGTTGCGTGCCCAATTCAGAGTTTCACAGAAAGCCTCAGCTTGAAGCTCTGACACGGAAGGTGAAAGAAGCCAAGCACCTAGAGGCGCCGAAAATCAGAAAAGGCCTGGAAGAATGCTCTTTGGACTTGGCATCGCTCGTTCGAGGCGCTTACGGGTCGCATGGTGAGTTGGACACCTCGTCACCTTATTCGTCTTCTGGCCTTGGCCTGGGCTCCAAGCCAGTATAAGCCAGTACCAGTCAGCATCAGAGTGTTTCGCACAGGGCTCACACGAACTAATGCGCCTTCCTCTTGGCAGTTTCCTTTTGCTCGCGCCGGCGATGCAAAGTTTCATGCTTTCTGGACGCAGAGACTGCGCCGCGCACACAGTACTTATCCTCGTGTGACGATCGTTGCTTGCATCAGTGTCAGAGGAGACAAGACACTCGGAAATGGTGGGCGTCCGCAAAGATCCGAAGTGGCCCTCCTTGCTCGGTTGCGTCCAAGAAGCGTTGTCGTAAATTCTCCCAGCCCTGCTTGGAAGTTACTATGCAGGTGGGGCTGCCAGCCTGAATTAGATGCATACGCATACATGCATCTGCATGGAAAACATATAATCCAGATGGTGACTCACAAAAGCTGCCACTGTCTGGATTTCACCGGGAAATTTGAGACGCGACAGCCCTGACAGCCAAGATGAGTCCGGCGCTGACAAATAACTGTTGAGAGCTTTCTCCATTCTTATTACAATAATCACAATAATAATATTAAGATTCCTGTTGTTATTATTTTTCTCAAAGAAATATTGTTACATAAACACACACACACACAACACACCACGTATTGAAGTTGTTGGCCCGCTATTCCGGTAACAACAATCAAGATCACTAGTCCCGTAAAGTGTTGCTATTGCTCCATGTGCATCTGTCCATGCGTCTGTGCAGTTATGTTTACAATCTTGCAGACTGCATTTGTGGCGGGCCAGGCTGCTGTCCGCTCGAGACAAGCCGAACTTTGGCCTCCCGAGCCCGTCCGCGAGCCATCACCGGAGCCCACTCCGAAGGCGAAGGCCTGGCATGCTCGTGATTTGCTGAAGCTTTTGTGTGTCGATATGGCATATGATCTGATTGAAGGTTCGTCCTCGTGCGAGAACTGGTTGCGTTTGTGACAGGCAGACGATCCTCAAGCTCCAGAGCCTTCAGGGATGCAATCGCAGCCGTCTCTGTCTCACCGTGGCACTTCCCGACTTGAGCTTAATATGCTTAATGCTTGTGTACAGCTCGCATCGAGGTCTGCCATTGGCCAAACAGAACCTGCGCCTGCGCCCTCGGCCTCCAAGCGCCTGCGCTTGCACTTCAGTGTCTGCACGTCTGTCACGTCTCCTCTCTAGCAATTCGACTGCAAGGTCCGACTGGAAGAAGGATAAGAAGCAGTGGAAGGAGTGGAAGGATTGGAAAGGGAGCGAGAGGCGCGAGAAAGAGCCGAAAAAGGACAAGGAAGACAAGCGCAAACGGGATGCTTCTTGGGAGAGGAAGGCGTGCGATCCTCTGGTACAGAGTGCCTAGGTGTCCCTTGGCCCTTACAGCCCCTGCATGAAGTCTCCGCAGCAGGCAGAGAAGAAGGCAAGCCGCAAGTCGAAGTCTCAGAGCTGCATCTCGCAGATGCGAAGTTTAGATCTGCACCGCATTGGCATGCTGATGAGCTCTTCCAGGTCCCCGAAGCGGAGGAGCAGAAGTAGAAGCCGCAGTCGAAGACGGAGGTGCCCGCCCGTTGCCCGCACGCCGGCATCTGCGACATGAGCTGTGCCAGGTCACGGTCTCGACGGAAGCGGAATGCATCGCGCGAGAAGCGCCGTTGAAAAAAAACGCTGCATTATGCTGCATTCTCTCCCAGCAGGTGTGAAAAGCCTCTGCCCTATGCAGCTCAGTGCGAACATGATGACGTGACGGATTGCAAGATAGCCAAGTTTCTCTCCATAGTTCTCTGCTCAGCAGTGACCTCGCCGCTAAGCTGATCCGCGTCATGGAGAGGATATGCGATATGGGCTAGCGTGGCGGTCATCAGGTCTTCCAAGACTAAAGGACTTTCTCCCATATCGCGAGCCAGTCCTACGAGGGCTTCCATGAGCAGGAACAGCCTGCTGTCGTCGAGCCGCCGAGGATCCGGTAGCTTCTCTTGATTTCGCCTCCTGTGCCATCCAGTAATCATATTGGCGCAGATATTCCGCAGATACGCATAGTTTCGAACGGATATGTCTCTGTCCCAGAGTTGTATATCGAGCTTGAGATAATGGAGCTCACGCATTTGCTCATAGATCAAGATATATATATATATATATGGCATCCCATCTTCAGACCGATCAATAGAAATACCGGCAATCACATGATCCCATTTCTCACGAAGCGCCTCGAGACGCTCCTCTACAACTCCATATCTGAAGCGATGGACGGCGACTTTAATAAGGGGATCGACGGCGACTTTAACAAGATCGATGATCTTGAAAGTAGAGTCACCGGTCAAATGCGACCTGATAAAATCGTAAAGCAGCCACAGTATCTATCGATTACCAAGCTTCCTGCTTGTCGTATGCATGCGCTCGATATTGGTCTGAATCTTATTCTTCAGAGCAATCGATATAATGAATTCACGAAATATAGAAATATACTCGTTCTCGATCATCTTATATTTACACTCTTCAATAAGATTTTCATATTATATGTCATCCTGTATTTTAGCCTATGCAAAAATATACGCTGGATTATATGTAAAAGGATTTCTAAGACGTTCTTTTATTTCGACAATCTATCGTCTGAGCTGAGTAGATTCGGGCTTAGGCTCAAATCGAAATAGTCGATTTTTCGCTTTTTTTATTTCTCTACCGTATCTGGCTCGACCATTTCTCGAATTATTGAATTGTAGAGAAGTGTTAATAGCGCGCTCAAGACATACACAGTAAATTCGAATAAAATTATGATAATATTTATTATAATACGAATCTGTATATAATATAATTGCGATGAAAATATGAAGGGAAGCTCCGAGATATCGCTTGGTATTAGCACTTTCTATTTAAATATGTTCGTTCTATAGCTAGGGTTGTCAAGGGAGGCACTAATAGATATTTTCGTTAGAATCGGATTTGAAGTGCGTAGATTATTATCTGGAATCTGAAGTGGTCTGTATCGATAATTATTGATATCGTAATTATAATATTTTAGAGGGATTCGGAATGAGGTCAGTTCTTTGCACGCTTAATGCGTGCAAATATTATATCATATTTCTTACTAAATCTCATTCGGTACGGTTCCAGTATTATAGGATGTCTAATAAAGGAAAATAAAGGCATTTCGAGTTTGCAAATTAAGAATTCTTTTCTTCTTATTATTTATATGAGAAATCGATACCTATCTATTTCTTAGATTGGGAATAAAGGTTTTGGGGATATTCTGAAGGATATTAATTTGTATAGGAATCGAAACTGTTGGAAGGTTTGTAGCTGAGAATGATATCGATCTTATAATCGATGCCTGATATTGGATATTGAAAATCGAAAGATTAGTATCAGAAATTCTATTAATGACGTTTCTTGAACCGTCTGATAAAGGAAATCGGGCTCAAGAAATCTGTCAGACTCAAGAAGGATCTCGAGGGAAGCTCATAAATAATGAATCGTGATCTTCTGAGCGTTTTTTCAATACTAAGGCTATACGATCTTAGATGAATAGCCTTACTATTATATAATCGATGATATCCTGGAGGGTAGATTTGAATTAAGTAACCCTAATAATGATGATCGGGGTATTCTTACTGAATCGTTCGGAAATAGCGCGCCAATACGAAGCGATGGAAACTTTTCTGATCTGGCAATTCCCTTAGCACCGTTATTGATACCCAAGAATTATGCTCTATCGTTATTTGGCGGAATAAATCGCTCAGATCGAGGCGATCGGGAATTATAATGAAATTCCTCGTGCGCCAGATCCCTAGCAGATGAGATGAAGATAAGAAACTCAAGATATTGGATTCTCGTAGTGAAACTCTCGATAAAAATATCGATTTTCTTCTATTGATTATATAGAAATTAGGTCATTTTATCACGAATAAGTTTAATTCGAAGATTCAATATTTTTGATATGAATTTCCCAATAAGATATTCTGATCTATATTTGCCAGAGATCTTCTAGATATCGCTATATTTTATTAATTATTTAATGAAATTTGATATAGATCGAATTAGCACGGCTCTTATTTCGATTAAAAATATATTTATCGAATTCGATAAATCGATTATTAGGAGCGCTCTTCAATTATTTAAATCGATCGTGAATAATTATTTGAAGGATATTATAGTTATTAAATCAATTCTCTGAAGAAATATTATAAATTCTGTCTTTCTCTTTAAGGGTCTGATTAATTTTTATAATAACTCGCATGCGGAATTAATTAATTTTATTATCGAATTCGATAATGAGAAGTATTAGTTTTTCAGAATATCGAGATTAGTATATATGGAATTAATTGATAATTTATTTAATTTTTTTTTTGGTGATGGCGATTCACTGAATAAAATAATTATCGATAATTTCATTTTGACATAGGGATAATAATTAGTGAAGTTTCGATCATTATCGATGATCGGGATGGTATGCGGACTATCGATTCTATTCGGAAGAATTAATTTCTTATATTTCGCGGTTTATTTATTTCTGGCAAGAGATTATTGATATTTTGTTGGGATTCGAAAAGAAGACGGACGTTCTCTATATTTTCTAGAAAGATTAGAAAATAAGAATAATAAATATCGGTCGGAGAGGCAAAGAATCGGGAAGTGGTAAGTGAAGCGTCTTTCGAAGAAAAATAGGCCAATATATATAATATATCTATAAAAAAAATTATAAAATAGAGATATTGCCTGATATCGTGACGATATTTCGAATAATATGGCATTCTTATTCGACTTCAGCAAGCGCGGCATATGGCGGCGTGGCAGCGGCAAAGTTGGCAGACGAGACAAGGCTAAAGGAATATTATTATCGGGCTCTGCAGCATGCCGAGCAACTAGTGTCACTTATGAAGAAATGATAATTGAGGAAATATGGAGGGGGCCGATCGGTGAATCTGAATGGGGCAAAGGGTGCCAGGAAAATGGCAGGGCTTCAGTCGCTTATCGGATAGATGACCCGAATGTAAAGAAGATAATAGCAGGTAGGCTATAACTAATAATTTATGAAAATAGAAGAATTCATATAATAATTATTATAAAGAATTGATTTTTCCAATCTTATATGCACCAAGCAAAGGCAATTTCAAATAGAACAAGGGCAGAAATCAAATCAGAATCTAGCTCCAAGTATTTAGATAAAAAATAAATCCTATATCTCCCTAAGAATAAAAGGTCTTTTCCTAGATCTGGCAAAGCCGACCTTGAGCAATTAGAATTACTATGAAACTAATAGATAGTCAAGATATATATAATCTAAATGTCAATATTAGTACTAGCTTTATAGACAAATCTCGGAAAATAATTAAGATATAATCGTAGAAATAATACTCCAAGATTCCTTATAGCTAGTCATAATAAATAATCTAAATTTTTTTGAAATATTAAATAAAAAATATATTCTTCCTAATATAAATTCCAAGCTTTTTATCTTACGGGACTAATAATATATTTCGAAAATATTTTTTTCTATATATCTATATCTAAATATATAAAATCTATTTTCTTAATTTTTTC